TCGAACTCAGGGCCTTGCGTTTGCCAGGTAAGCACTGTGTCGCTGAGCTACATCCCCAGCCTGTAATATTTGTTAATATATTGCTGGACTTTGGTTGCAGTATTTTATTTGTGTCTGAACTCATAAGAATATTCTGTTGCTTTCTTGGTTTTTTGGGGTTTCTTTGCAGAACCAGGGATTGAACTCATCAGGCCCTTGCACCTGCCAGGCAAGCGCTTATTCTACTGAGCCATCTCCTCGGCCCCTCTGTTGCTTTCTTGTGATGTCTTTACCCAGTTTTGTTATCTGGGTAATAACCAGGCAGTCTGACTTCTGAACCTCGCTTTCCTCTTGTCCTGCGACCCTTCCCTTCCCAGTTCCCTTCCAGGTCTTCCCCAGGTCCTGTGTGCGTCTTGGAAATGCGAAACCATCCAGCCGCGCCTCAGCTGTCCACCCGCTCATGCACTGTCCACTGTGGTCCTTGGTGTCCCCTCCCTTGCCGAGTGGCTGAAGAATCAGGGCTCAGCCAGGACGCTGTGTTCAGTCCTTAGCACGGAAAGAAAGGAAGCCAGGAGGGGAAAAAAGAGAAATGAGGGGCTGGTGAGATGACTCAGTGGTCTAAAGCACCTACTTGGAACAAGCTTAGCAAAGCACAGGGACCGCGGTTCAATCCCCCAGCACCACATGCCAGCCAGCCCCGCCCCCTGGTGGGCTGAGCTGGCCACACACACACACACACACACACACACATAAATAAATAAATAAAAAAAAAAAAGAAATGAAATAAAGAACAGGACAGGCTTGAGGGAGAAAGACAGAAGGAGCAAGCGAGGCTCCTTGCAAGAGCACGCGCTAGGACAGTGCACTAGGCGGTGGCGGCCAGAGGCTGCAGGATCCGCTGGTGGGGCATTTATTTGGGATTCAGCCGAGGAGACGTCTATGGCCTGGCACAGACCACCCCCAGCAGCCATCTCATCCTGGGCGCTGCCTTCCTTTCCTCTCCCACCTTCCACAGAGCAGGATGGAGCCTTGTACTGGTCTGCATCCTTGTTCCCAGCTTGGAACCTTTGCCTTTGCTACACCCTGGGGACGGAGGGGTGGAGCCACTGCCGAGACTGGTCCCTGACACTCAGCTCGATTCAAGAGTCACTAGATTAATTTTTTTTTCTCTATTCCTTCTCCTTCTGCTTTTCATGGGGGCAGGAGGTCAGGGTCTTGCTAAACTGTCTGGGCTGGGCAAGCTTGTGACCCTTGTCTCCATGTCACGAGTAGCTGAGACTGCAGTCAGGCACCACCATGCCCCGCAACTGTGATTTCTGTGGTTGCGCAATAGATTGCCACACATGTACCATCGAAAAACAGTACCTGCTTCTTTTCTTATACTTCTGTAGGTCAGAGGTCCAGGCTGCTGACTGAATTCTGCCTTCAGGAGTCAGGAAATAGCCAAGGTGTTGGAAGTCCTGGGCTCCTACTGGAGGTTCTCCTGCAGGATTCAATTCTGGACTCCTCCAACTTATTAGCAGAAGTCAGCAGCGCCACGAGGTCATACGACGCGGTCTCTAAACACAGAGGCAGGGATCACTGCAAGTTTGATTTTTTTTTTTTCCTGTCACTGCAAGTTTGAGGCCAACTAGTCAGTTCAAGGCCAGCCCGCACTACATTAAACAAAGAAACAAAAATGCCCAAAAAATTCCCTGATTTTCGTGAGCTGCCCATAAGCCAGAGGTTGTTTTCCATTTCTGGAGGTTGTCTACATTCCTTAGCTGAGGGTCCCTCCACCTAATAGACAGCCAAGGCACTTGGGATCCTTTTGCTTCAGTTTCCTTTGACTTTTTTTGTTTTGTTTTTGTTTTATTTTTCCTCATACCAAGAATCAAACTCAGGACTTCACACTTACCAGGCAGGTGCTTGTGCCTGTGAGCTATGTCCCAGGCACTTGACTTACTTATTTTGTCTGTCTGTCTTTCTAAATGTATTTAGTACAGGGTCTACAGGGTCTCACTACACAGATCAGATTCTTTTGTGTGTGTGTGTGTGTAACCAGGGATTGAACTCAGGCCCTTGCACTTGCCAGGGAAGCGCTTATTCCACTGAGTCATCTCCCCGGCCCCCACAGATCAGATTCGTAGTGATCCTCCCATTTTCAGCCTCCCAAGCGCTGGGATTACAGGTGCCACCACACCTGGCCTCAGTCACTATCTCAGTCTGTCCGGGGGCGGGGCCAGCATGTCAGACCGGGATGGACCCTGGTCCCTGCATCTGCCTGAGCAGGCACTTTAATGGGCTAAGCTATCTAGCTGGCCCGCCCTTCCTTTCTTCCCTCCTTCCCTCCTTCCTTCCCTCCTTCCTTCCATCCTTCCTTCCTTCCTTCCTTCCTTCCTTCCTTCCTTCCTTCCGTCTGTCCTTCCTTCCTTCCTTTCTATTTTTTGGTCTTTTTTTTTTTAATTATTTATTTATTTTCATTTATTACATTTATTTATTGTGTGTGTGTGTGTGTGGCCAGCTCAGCCCACCAGGGGGCGGGGCTGGCTGGCATGTGGTGCTGGGGGATCGAACCGCGGTCCCTGTGCTTTGCCAAGCTTGTTTCAAGTAGGTGCTTTAGACCACTGAGCCATCTCTCCAGCCCCTATTTTTCGGTCTTTTTGAGACAGGGTCTTGCTATGCAGTTCAGGATGGCCTTGAGCTCACTATGTAGCCCAGGCTGGCCTCAAACTCACAATGCTTCCCCTGCCACAGCCTCCTGAGTTCCGGGATTACAGGCAGGCGTGCACCACCATGCCTGGTCTTATTCTATTACAGCAAGAAGTCAAAGTTTAAAACAAACAAAAAATTCCCTCATATCAGAAGTCCTTCCAGGGCAGAATTCTTCACCTGTGGACCAAAAGAAATCAGGCCTGCGGCCCCGGACAGGACACTGGCAGTGCAGGCGGGGGATGGCAGTTGGGGCAGTCCCATTCCGAAAAGCGGCAGAAGGAAAGCAAAAAAGAGTAACAACACAAAGCAACTTCAAAATCCAGCTGGGAAAATTCTCTTAGGTCATTCAGGCCGGAGGTTATCAGAAATAATCCCTCAGGCTTCGTTCCGCCCACTAGGCTCTCAGCTGCACCCTGGAGATTAATCATCTTTCCTAACCACCTGCCCGAGTACCCATAACACAGCTATCATGGACTCTTTTTTTGGCGTGGGGGGCGGGGGAGACGGGATTGAACTCAGGCCCTTGCACTTGCCAGGGAAGCGCTTATTCCTCTGAGCCATCTCCCCGGCCCCCATCACCGACTCCTTGTCATTTTTTTTTCTATCACATGACTTACTCTTTTTTGTTTTTGTTTTTTTGCGGTACCGAGAATTGAACTCAAGACTTTGCCCTTGCCAGCCAGGCACTGTGCCACTGAGCTATTTCTCCAACTCACGACTTGCTCTTTAAAATAGTGCATGTTGCAGTTTTGCTTAACATCCTAGCAATTTTTTCACTTGGTCTCTCCATTAGAATATAAATTCCATAGAAGTAGGGACCTTGTCTTTTAATTTCTGTGTTTCAAACACCTGCCGTAATGCCTGAAATGTAGGTCTTGTGCAATAAATATTTCATGAGCCGGGTGGAGTGGTGCATGCCTATAACTCCCGCTACTCAGGAGGCTGAGACAGGAGGATCACAAGTCTGAGGCCAGCTTGGGCAGCTTAGCAAGACCCTGTCTCAAATAAAGGAGCAGAGTACGTGTGTGTAGCTCAACACTCCCTGGGTTTAATCCCCGGTACCAATACAAATATGCATATACACACACATACCTACATATTTTATTAGTAAATGAACAAATGAGGTAAATGTAGAATAAAGTTAAATTATGATCCCCAAATATATCTACATCATAACCTTCAGGATCCTTGTTACCTTATATGGCAAAAGAAATTGTAAAGATGCGAGTACATTAATGAGCTTGAGATGGGAAGATGGTCTTATATTATCTGGGTCTGGCCTGGGTGACCACAAGGGTCCTTATAAGGGGGACACCCACAGTCTGCTGTGGTGGCACATGCCTGCAATCCCAGCACGTGGCAAGCTGAAGCAGGAGGATTACTACAAATTCAAGGCCAGCCTGGAGTATATAGTGAGACCCTGTCTCAAAACGGTTAACAGAAGTAAGTTAGCAGAGAAGGCAGTAAAATGATGGAAGCTGATACTAGATTAATGTGCCTTCAAGGAAAGGATGGGGCCACGAGCCAAGGAATAAGAGGTTGAAAAAGGCACGGGTATGGATTCTCCATGGGAGCCACCAAAGGGAACCAGTCCTGCTGACACCTAACTAGCAGGTGAAACTGACTTTGGACTTATGAGGTCCAGCACTGCAAGAGAATAAGTGGAAGGTCGGCCAAATAGCTCAGCGGATTAAAGCGCCTTCAAGCAGGCGCAGGGGCCAGGGGTTCAATCCCCAGGCCTGCATGCTGGCCCCGCCCTCAGGGCTCCTGAGATGGTGATTGAGACTGGGCGTGGAGGTGTGCACCTGTAATCCCAGCTCTTGGGAGGCTGTAAACAGGAGGATCACTACAAGTCCAATCTAGTAGTGAGACCCTGAACACCCTGTAGACCCTTCCCTAAAATACAAATAATAATAATGGTGTTGTTCTAAGCCATGAAATTTGTGGTCACTTGTCAGATCAGACTGCACCCAATACTGCTGGCTACAGCTACCTGCAGCCCTCTAAGGCTCGTCTTCCCCTCCTTCCAGAGGAATACAATTTGGCCTGAGCTACATGCCAAGGGAGTTCAAAGCTAATCTGATCTACATAGTGAGAGCATGTCTCAAAAAAATAAAAAGCAGGGCCGGCCTGATAGCTCAGGGGACTAAAGCACCTGCTTAGGCAGAGCGCAGCGGCCGGGGTTTGGTCCCCGGTGTGCCGAGCTGGCCCAGGGCACGCTGAGACAGTGATGAAGACTGGGCTTAGTGTTGCACACCTGTAATCCCAGCATTTGGGAGGCTGAAAGCAGGAGAATCACTCCGAGTCTGATCTATGTAGAGAGACCCTGTAGACCCTGTACTAA